ATTGGGATGTAATGGGACTTAACGAGCAAATATGGGAATATACTGATGATGCAATCGGATAGAATGGGATACAATAATTTAATGTAGAAATGCTGGTGCCCTCCGGCAATTTGGTACAGTTTGCTACGGAAAATGATGGAAATTGGCCCAGTTCGTTCGATGATTAGGGTGATTTTCCATTGCAGACTGGTTAAGGACCAGAGTGAAGACCTTGGTTAATGGCTAGATGTTTGGGGTATACTTGGGGCAATATTTTGTATACACTTGCTTTTCATAAGCTCACCAATGAAACGAAAAAATACGGACGCATGTATGAGAAATAACTGCCGATGACCAATGGGTCAAGAATCTGAGTAACGTCTGGTAAATTTCAATCAATCGCAACAAATTCAATTGATTTTCTGGCCAGTGTAGGGGGTACTTTTGTCCTACTAATGTTGGTGCTTCTACCACCCATAAAAATGCTCAATTTGGGGATAGTGGATCCTATTGCATAAAACTAACATTTTATATCCCATTTATCCGTTTTTTTGGCACATAGATATAACAATGATGGGTTCATCCATGTGAAACTATTGTCATCCATTTTTTTCACATATCACCATTGTTTTTATGATGTGTTCGACCATGTGAATTAATCCAATAAAACACTACGAGTAACTAGATATGAAACCATAGTAATCCAATCATAAACATATCGCCATTGCTTTTACGATACTTACGAAACCAATCCAATATAACAATAACATACAATAACTATATGAAACCATATTAAGATATATATCAATTCAACATATCAACAAATATTAACATATATTAACAGATATTAGCATATACTACCATCTGCTTATGACTAACAGTTTGCCATGGAAAGATCCACCATTTTTAAGAACGCTGTGTACCATCTGCCGCTGGGCTACACCGTCTCCATCAAGGTCAGCTTCATGCACCATCTGCAGTGCGTCCGAGAGGAACATGTCCCAAGGAAATGGTCATTGAAATGGGGAAAACATGGGAAAACATTGGGAAACATAGGGGAAAACATGGGGGAAAATAAAAACATGGGACAAATCCCTATTGAATGGCGGTTTGAATGGGAAAAATCATCTATAAATGGGATTTCTGGCCATTGCCATGTTTGATTACCGAAGGGTGAATGGAGGTCTAGTTCGTCGGGAAAATCATCGAACTAGATAAATGGAGTATTTTCCAGCCATCAGACTGACTACCGGATGACAATTTGTTGTGAGCCTTGACGGGATTTAGAATTATCCATGTTGGTAGATACATGTTATGTTGTTTTTTGAATCATCCTACGTTTTAAAATCAAATTTATGATGGTAACTGATGGCAATTAGAATGATCCCTTGATGGCAATTAGTAATTGGACCCAGTTGGTTAGATTGTGACCTGTGTCATGGGAATAGTCGGAGATCCAAAAAAAATCAGAATCAGAATTAGAATTAGATGTATCACCGTATCACCCATCAGATGGCCAGATTTATCAGAGCTGGTGGGTGACATTGGGTGACTTAGACCTACCTCAAAGTGAGGATTGTTGATCAAGCGTGGTCACTTTGGGTTCATGTGAGTGATCATCATTGAAATCATCGATTTGAAGAACATGCATGTCTATAGAACATGCAAATCACGGAAAAGGCTGGAAAAAGGCTACGAGGAAAGCGACTTGGATCCGAGACCCAAAACTGTTTGAATGGCATCTGTTGGCTGTGGCGATGGCTCGAAACATAGCAGGGCGAAAAGGACGAAATCTGTGGGTCCATAGCTGGCAACATGCTACCATCCCCAATTGAAGGTTTATGGCAGCTTTGCTACACAGATGTGCTTTTTTTGATCATGCCAGAATATGTGTGGTTGCATGTGTGCGCATGCGCCTGTGTGTATGCCACATATATATACAGTATATTTTGAAGATATATCTAAGTTATTCTAAGTCTATATCTAATTCATTCTAATTCTATATCTAAGTCTATATCTATCTAATCTAATCTTAATCCAATCTAATCTATCCATCTACCTATCTATCTATCTACCTATCTATCGGTCTGTCTTTCTCTACCTCTATTTCTATCTCTGTCTCTGTCCATCGAATCGAATCGAACCTAATTTAATCTATCTATTTATCTTTCTACATGTCTATCTATGTACATACCTATCCATCTTCCGATCTATCCGGCACCGAAACATGTTCAGATTCCATATATTGGGGAAAAGGCTGTTGAAAAGCAGGGTCAAACTGTTTGTTTGAGAGTCACCAGCTAGATCATCTAGATCTGTTTTTGAAACGCTGATCTCATGTTGATCTACATCTCAATAGATACCCACCAGTGGTTACATGCATGATATCCACCATGTCTTAGATGATTTACTGTAGGTTTACCTATCAAACATGTCTATTGTCCATAGCTATGTAACAAAATTCCAAAGGCCACCCCTTTTTAAATGGAAAATCACCATCAAACATAGCAATCGGTCAATCGAACGAAATGGACCATTGCGGCTTCCACAGCCACGTTAAATTGCCCGGATGATATTTAAAAAAGAAAAAAAACAACATCCGTTTACTGGTGATTTTACCATTCTCAACAATAGATTTTGCTCATTGTTACCACTGGAGGATGGAGCTGGAAAACGCCAAAGGTTTCGGGTAAAAACGCTCACCGTTGATGTCCCCGAGTCAATCCGCAGTGCGCGGATGGACGAGGGAACAGTTGGCACATAAATCTGTGCCCAGATATATGAAACCATATGTTCATCCATTTTTTGCACATATCACCATTGCTACCATATGACGCCATATTAATCCAATATAACAATAAGTATCTGAAACCATATTAAACTATATTAAACCATATTAAACTATATTAAACCATATTCAACTATATTAGACCATATATGAAACATTATGAAACCATAGTAATCCAATACTTTAAACATCTTTAAACGTACGAAACCACAGTGACCTCCGCCGCCGTCAGCTTCGGTCGCAGGTGCTGTCGCAGTTCCGTGACCTGGGAATTCCAGGTCAAAGTTCGAGGCCGGGGTACCGGGACCTGGGAAGACTCCCAAAAGATGAAATAACACGTGGAACAGGTTTAAAGCATCTCAAGACGTATGTATATAGTTATATTATATATATCATATAAAATGATCATATATGTTATCCATTTGTTCTTTTGGAAAATGAGTTTGGCCTTTCATGGTTTTTCTAGTTGGGTGCCAAAAGTGCCAGGGCCTTTTCAGAGGTTCTGTTCTGTATAATCCCACCCCCCGTTCATATTAAACACCCCCTTTCTATGGTCCCATAAATTATGGAAACTACGTGGGTAAAAATCCCTTGCTAAACCATGGTCTCGCTTGGGGGCGTCTAATATCAACAGAAGATGGGATTACCCTTTGTGTACATATTGCCCTCTGGTTATTTAACATAGCCATGGAAAATCACCATTTTTAATAGGTAAACCATCTATAAATGGGCCATTTCCCATGGCTATGTTAAATAACCAGAGGGTACATAGTCATGTCCCAAAATGGGGTGTCCATCCAACTCTCATGGCCAAAGTTCGACACGCCCATCCCATGGTGCTTGCGCCCATGGGAGGAACACTGTGGCTTGCGACGCTGATGAGGCTGCAGGACCGAATCTTCTCTTGCGACCAATCCATCCTGAAACGTGGAGGATTCGTTCATGGTATCTTCCGGTAAAGGTTTAAGTTTACATAGATCTGGGTTTAACTCACCATGAATGTAGATCATGGTCCAAAAAGGTGCGGGGTCCACATCTATGTTAGTTTATTATGTTTATTCCAGGACAAGTCTGCTTGAAGGTCATAGACTGCTGAAATAACGATGAATTATCTGGGGCTTCTTTTGGTAGCTGTGGCTATATTCTCTTTCATGATTAACCCCCAGCTATAACTTGTAGCCAGAGCTACCTTATCCACCCGGGTTTAATCTCCTGAATTCACAAATTCATGGCTGAAGAATGATGTTTCCCAAGGCTCACGTGTGTGTGTGTGTGTGCCATGTTTGGGGATGATTTTGCTATGCTTCATCCTGGAAGTGGATCAAAATCAGCAGGGAACCCATGGGAAATTCCCAGCTCCCCAGTGGATGAATCCTATCCAACTCGACCATGGCAATGGCTGGGAAGCCCAGCATGTTCCCAGCTGTAGCCCTGCCTCCAAACAGCTAAGCCATCGGTGCAATCATAGCGAGGTTGCGGCTTTGAAGCTTCTGGAACCTGGAAAAATGCGAGGGGAGTTTCTGTGGAAAAACTCGGGCGCGGAGATCACCATTGGGATAGTTCAACGACATGGCTAGCAGGGAAATGCCATCTAAATGATGGGTTTTAATGGAGAAAGGTGAATTTTACACCAACAATACCAGGTTACCATCATCTATGGTGGGGTTGTTGTGATCTGAGTATATCACCAACAATAAAAAGGCTTTGGCCCTACAAAAAGGGAATAAAAGGGAGTATATGTTCATAGATATTCAGCCGCAATGAGGATTTCAGACAACCCAAAACTTGGTGTTTTTCACCCACAAGAATCCTGAACAGCAACAAACATGGGGATGGATTCGGAGCACAAGAATGTGGGGGTCAAGCCCAGGGGCATGGCAGAGGTGACTATTCTTAGAAGAAAGGCACCCTGAACCAGGAATATTGCAATCCTGATGACAACTTTACAACCAAGGTAAGGAGGAATAACCTCTCTCTCTCTATCTCTCTCTCTCTCTCTCTCCCTCGCATGTAAGATCTGCAGCGGTTGGGGGCTGGAACCACTTGCTGAAATTTCCAACCTTTGACGTTCAAGCTAGACGTGATGAGTTTGTCTCCGTGACTATGCTGATTGTCAGATTGAAATTCTAAAAGCAAACCATGAGGAAAATAGAATTTGGACCGCTTCCGTCAGAGTTTCAAGTGGCCGGAAAACAGATGACCAGGACAACACAACCTACGAGCCAGTGGATTTAGGTGCCTATTTTCAGACAAACTCCTATGTTTAGAAGCTGTAACTGGAGGACCTAGCCCAAAATCAAGCTGTACTGAAACTATGTGGGACGCTTCATCTATGTTAAGAAAGTGTTTAGAAAATGTACCATCTGGTACTAAAACAGTTTGCTATAGAAAATCACCAGCTTGAATTGGTAACTGATGTAACTGATTATTTAAAAGGATGGCACCAGTTTTCCATACCTATGCTTAGATAACCAAAGGGTAGAATCTCAAGGACCTAGCCCTTTTTTCATCACGAGCTCCAGCGATCGCACAAGTACTAAGGATGGCACCTGTGACCGTGGGATGGTGCCCTGATAGCCATGCCTGTGATTCAAGGGCCCACCCCTGGCCAATGTCTTGCCATCCCCTATAAAATCTATACCCTGTGGTAAACATACAAAAAGCTATGGAAAATGGCCATTTATAGTGGATTTACTCATTGAAAATTGTGATTTTCCATAGTTATGTTAGTTTACCCACAATATGGCTGGTTTATTGATGCTCTGCCAACAATAAACCTCCAAGTTTGGGTGTTCATCAATCCGATCTCCTTGGAATGCACTTACGCAGAACAATCTTCATGGTGGCCTCCTGGCAGCTTCACTTCACGCGGGGATCCACCCAGCGGCCCCCCGAAACGCCTGAAGCAAGACAACAGCTCCACCAATGTGACCTGCAACGGCTGGATGCAGATGGATGTTGCCCACGCTGCCACTTGATGCTTCACACCATGAAGCATCAAAGTTCCAAGATCCGAGTCATACCCTAGCTACTTAATGCTCCTTCTATGACATGTCAATTTAAAATATATATATATATGTGTGTGTGTTGGTATATAAAGATATATATATACAATATAGATCCAATAGAACTATATATATATATGTGCGTTTTTCTTGCACTCATATCAAGGCTCATCCCAGCACATTCAAAAGACGATACATTGCCTTGCCATCGCCATCCACATCAATGCCGTGGAAGATGGAGGAAATCTGTGCCGTGGAACAGGAAATCAGTTCGCAGCCGTGAAAAATCCCACGGATCATGGTGAAAAATTGGGGCTAGTTCACCCACTAAATGGGATATCCTCTGGTAAACTAACATAGCTATTGAAAATCACCATTTTTAATGGGAAAACTCACTATAAATGGCCATTTTCAATAGCTATGTTAGTTTACCAGAGGGTAACCCGGGAATCGATACCATCTGGTTGGTGGTTGAGCCACCCACCCCTCTGAAAAATAGGACGTCAGTTGGGATGATGACATTCCCAACTGAATGGGAAAATAAAATTCATGTTCCAAACCACCAACCAGCCATGAACCACTTTCGATCCGTGGGATGATGCTCCAAGTACCATTTCAGGAAGGAACCTATAAATAATCAAGTAATGGAACCTGTGACCTGACATGAGGAAGGAACCCACAAATGTACTCAAACCTCAATCTTCCTCATGAAATACCTGGTTTTTCGGAATCCTGCTTTAGTGATCTGTGCGTTTTCGGGTCCCTGATTTGGGGAGCCTCGATGGGATCATGAATGATCCCATGCAGATGTATTGTTACCTTCTGGTCAACTAAGGTAGCCATTGAAAATGGCCTAATAGAAATAGTTGATTTACCCATGAAAAATGGTGGATCTTTCCAGTTCGTTTTTTGTACACGTTTGCCAGAGGGTATGTTTTTTTTTGAAGTACCGCTATCCCATCAAACAATCTGGGGATCCAAAAATCTGGATCTCATTGACCAATCACCGGGTATTGTTTTCCATAGTTTTTCGTATCAGATGAAAATCTGGGGAAATCTCAATCATACCCTCTGGTAAGCTAACATAACAATGGAAAATCACCCATTTTCAATGGGTAAATCAACTATAAATGGCCATTTTCCATAGTTTTTTGTATGTTTACCAGAGGGTAATTCACTGATCGTCCCAAAGACGCCTCCCTGCGGGTCAAGCCCCATTTCCAATCCTGGAGAGCGAAAAAAACATCTGGGCCGAAACTCGAAACAATGAATCTACGTTCCAATGCACAGATATAGGTATAGATTATTTCAAACGTTAGCCTCTTAACCTGTGGGCCTTGTGGACCATGGAGGGAACTATGGAAGGGACTATGGAAGAAACCAGGGCAATAAGGATATCTTATAGAAGGTGATGTTAGAAACCATGTCAAGGGAAAATTAGCAAGCTTTTGAAGAAGTAAAGAAACAAAACAATGCACACAGCGAGGACACATCCAGATTCATCAATCTGGATTTGCACTCAAAGTCGTGAAGTGCTTGGCCTAAATTGAATTTGTATTGTGGACCGGTGATGAATTCAGTTTTGCTAATAACAAAAACTTGCCATGGATACTTTATACCTATCTGATCCACAGTCTATAGATATAAAATTCTGATGTTGAGATTGGGGTGAACTTATGTTTCGGTCTTTCTTTTGAAGACTAAATCTACTTAGGTAATCTTATAAAATTCTACTTAGGCGTCACGAACTCACGCCTAAGTAGAATTCTATTTGCGCCAGATAGATTACGCATTCCAAATTCTAGTCTGGGGCTGTTGGAAGACAAAATTCATAATCTACTTGGGCGCAAAAAGAATTCTGCTTAGGTGTCACGAACTGACGCCTAAGTAGAATTCTATTACTATTTGCGCCTTATTAGGCCATGTCTTCCAAATTCTAGTCTGGGGCTGTTGGAAGACATAATTCATAGTCATAATCTACTTAGGCGCAAATAGAATTCTAGTCTGGGGCTGTTGGAAGACATAATTCATTTTCCACTTTGGCGCAAAAAGAATTCTGCTTAGGCGTCACGAACTGACGCCTAAGTAGAATTCTATTACTATTTGCGCCTAATTAGACCATGTCTTCCAAATTCTAGTCTGGGGCTGTTGGAAGACATAATTTATATTCATAATCTACTTATGCGCAGATAGAAATCTAGTCTGGGGCTGTTGGAAAACATAATCCATGATCTACTTAGGCGCAAATAGAATTTTGCTTAGGCGTCACAAGCAGACGCCTAAGTAGAATTCTATGTGCGCTTAAGTAGATTATGTATTCCAAATTCTAGTCTGGGGCTGGCATTTGGGTGAAAATATGGCTTGCTTTCCCTTCAAGATGGGAGACATACTCAGGCGACAGAAACAAACACCGAAGTGGAATTCTATTTGCAGCTATAATTAATTTTCTAGTGTGAGACTGGGCTAAATTCAGCTTTGATTACTTAACAACCTTGCCCCAAATACTTGAAACCTTGAATAAATACACAACCCGCATACAGATAGTGGGTTTAATTTATGATGCTGCATTTGTTTGAGGGAAGATTCAGGCGGTTTAAGCGCAATTGGAGAAATACTTAGGTGGAAGGAACAGGCGCTGCAGTCGAATTCTATCAATATGTAATTTCAATTATTTGGAAGGCAGTCCATGTGTGTTTGGGCGTGCTGAGCTGGCTTCTACAATGTGTTCAGGCTGTTGGGATTATGTGACTTCCCTTTTCAAAGAAAGAACAAAGGCAATGCTGGTTGTTGGCTGCATTCCCATTGCTGTCTTTCCCCCCACCAGTTCTGGAATGGATCAAAAATATGCAGTAGCGGTAGCAGTGCAACATCCAGGCTATCTTGTTGGTATTTTGTCACTCTGGCAAGACTGTTGCTACTACCGTGCTACTACCCTACAAGAAACAAACTATATTGTATATAGCTGCCGATAATTTCTTGGACCATGATTTGATACTTTTCAGAATATATATATATATATATAGATATAGATATAGATATATAGCGCTAGCGGTGGGGTTCTTGAGGGTGATGATGGGTTACTTTCAGGTTGGGACTAATGCATCCGGAATGGCTCAACCTTGTCCGTGCCTTCCTATTCCCGGGATTCTTGGCACAGAGAACCAATTTACGTGACAATTTTCTTAGCGCAGAGGTCTCCAGAACGGTTCGGAACGGTTCTGCAGACCTCCAGAACGGTTCGGAACGGTTCTGCAGACCTCAACTTTGCACGGAAATATTTCTCCACAGCTTCCAAACCCCCCAAAAAAACGGTCAAGAGCAGTTCCTCCTGTTTCGCATTTTCAAAACCTTCCAAAGAGCCGCCCTGTGGCTCCAAGGGCCAAGGCTACAAGAGAAAGGAGTCAGAAAAACGACAAAGGGAAGGCAACTTCTCCGCCTAAGTCTTTAAACAGGCAGTGCAAAGGCATGCTGAGCACAAGGGAGAAGGTGAAACTGGATGTAGACTACAAAAGGCTGGAAGTTTCTCAGCTGTTTGTTCATGGAAGGCGTGGCCCCTTTCAAAATCTTACCTGTCTTGAAAACTGTTCTGTAGAATCTGTTCTAACAAAATCATACAACTGTGTAGTTTGTATTGAAATTTCCGTTTGAAAGTATCGCTTGTGTCGAATCATCATTGCTTATGGTACTAGTATGTGTTTATTTGTTCAAACTCTATGTTTTTTTTTGAAACGAAAGGGAAAGTCTCTCTCCCTGTCAGCCTCGACCCAAATACCTTTTCCAGTTCTAATAAAGGGGTTCGTTGTAGGAAATGATTAAAACGATCACAACCAGTGAGGAGCGTGGTTCTGAAAGCTATGTGGAAGGTCATAGGTTATGTGCGCATATTTAATACCCAATCAGTGAGGAGGATAAGAGATCCGGTTGTGTGTTGCGCAGTTGGAACTCCATTGTGTAGTGTCATCCATTGTGTAGTGGTGTTCGCCTTCGGCTGAGGGGAGCGGGTTTGGGGTATTGTCCAGTGATATTTCGCCAGAGAGCCCTGCTTCTCGCTGCTTCCCGCACTGGTCGATAGATGCGCGCATTAGCCCGCCAATCTATGACTGTAGGGCCATGGGTAGAATATACTTCTGTAGCTGTTGGAGGGGAAAAGAAAGGATGAGACAGGTCAGTGAGGGCTGGGGCGGTTTGTTGTTGTACAATTTGCATGCGTCGATAAGCTTCTGTCAGCACTAGTTCGGCCCAGTGAGGGCGGGGTCTGCCCTGCCGAAGATTTTCTCCCCGGAGAAAACGATATGCGTGTGATGGCATGAAGGAAACCAAATGTTCCGTGCAGCTTTCATGGCGCAACAAATGACCAAGGAGTTGAAGTCGCCGGGTGGCAGCTAGTTGAGATGGTGTATAGATATTCATTCCATGGGAGTTAGCAAGGGTGTGGAGATGGGTGTTTGAGCACGGGGAGTCAGAAGGTTGCAAAACCCTATGAAAAAATGAAGATCTAATTTTGAAGATCTGCCGTAACACGCGAAAGTGAAGAGCATCCATACGTTGGTGATGCGCAGGGGTGGGAACTACGGATTCAATAGAATAAAGGAGAATACTTTGGACGATGGACTGGTACACTCGAAGGCGAAAAGCCGGTGAAAGGAATGAAGCACTGAAAAAACTTGCTAAGGCCTTCGTGGCAGCATTGGCCTTTCGCAGACGTGACAAGACAAAGTGATCAGGAGAACCATCTGGTGTCAATTGCGCGCCTAGGTATGTTGCCTCTGTAACTTGTTTTAGGGGGTGACCTACGCCTTCCCCACCACAATGTTCACAGGCGCATTTGTTCATCACATTACCCACGCGGGTGTAGATATGCTCGGAGCTGTGTAACGCAAGGTGCTCACATTTTTCCAAGTTAAGTTCCAGACCAAATAGGTATCCGTGACGCTGGACCCCATGGAGAAGGCGATTAGCAAGTTGAGCGGAATTGGTCATTAGCACTATATCATCGGCAAATTGGAGATCCCAAATTGGGGGTTGCATGGGGAAAACACTGGGGATAAGACTAAAACGGGATTCATGCTCGGCCTCCACATATTCAAACATACAGGTGGTGCAAAGAATAAAAAGGTATGGGGATAATGGGCAGCCCTGTCTAAGTCCTGCTTCCTGTTGCCGTGGAGTCGACAATTCCCCCCAGTCCAGTACTTGGAAAGATGGATCCATATACAGAGATTGGATTGCATTGATGAGCGCCTCTGGTACTGAGTGGTATGCTAGAGAATGGTAGATGGCTGCGTGGGTCAGGGAATCAAAAGCTTTAGCCCAGTCCAAGAAGACAAAGTGTAGTGGAACCCTTTGACGTTCATGAGCTTGGATTAATTGGCGGATAATGTGGATAGGTTGAGAAGTGGATCTCGACTGTCTGAATCCGTATTGGGTGGGGCGGAGGTAGGGTTCCACATAAGGGTGGAGTCGATCTTTCAATATGGATGCATACACCTTGTACATACACGCAGACAGGGAGATCGGGCGATAGTTAGAAAGCGCGGTGGAAGACTTTAACCCGTTTTTCAACAACAAAACAACTATAGAGTTTTGCCACGCAGAAGGGATGGATCCGCCGCTAAAGCAATCACGAAGGAGGGAAAGAAAGAATGATTGGTAAAGAGGAGAGGAAAACTTGAGCATTTCGGGATGTATGTTATCCGGTCCCGGCGCTTTTTTGGTTTTCAGTTTGGCGAGCGCCTTCAAGAGCTCATGATATTGGATTGGGGCCTGCGCGCACGCTGAAGGCTCATATGTATAGCCCGGATCTCCCAGTGGGGGTAAGGATTTTTGTTTCCAAACGAGCTGGCCAAGATATTCTGCAAAAACATCCGAACGTTGATTTCTGGGTCGTAGCCTTCCCCGAATGTCAACAATGTTTGTTGGGCGCGCCTTAAAAGAGGAGCGAGCTTGGCGAATTGTTTTCCATTGTTGGGAAGGTGGCCCTTGGGAGTCGAGTTGAAAACTGTCAGCCCACCACTGTTTTTTGTCGCGACGCGCGCAGGTCTTAATGCGATTGCGTAAGGAGCGACGTTGCTGCAGTTGATCTGGGCTGGTTAGTTGGGCCAGTTTTTGTACAAGGGAGAAAGTACTTGGGGATAGGTATGGACGTTTTTGGTCCGGGCTAATTTTACAGAAGGAGCTTTGGGCTGCTTGTATGGCTGTCTGACTTAAAAAAACGTTTTTTTGCGTCCAGGGATGAAGAGGCCCACACTTCACAGGGGACTGGCACGGAATGTTCAGGAGAAAGGAGTGGGTATGGGGGGGAGGAATGGAATCTTCCTGTTGGAGATAGCTGAGTCTGCCCCTTGGAGGCCAACGCATCAGCGCGTTCATTTCCGGGAACTCCTGTGTGCGCGGGGACTTTGTGTGCAGTTATATCGAACATGAGAGTGGCCGCGTACCAATATTGCAAAAGGGAACTGACCTGAGGAAAGTTTGCCTTTGGGTGGTTGCGTCCTTCGAGGAATCCGAGAACATAGTCTGAATCTGTATACAAATGAATATGTCCATCCTCTCCTGTTTTGTACACAATGAGCCAATCAAGAGCTTCAATTACTGCTTGGATTTCCGCTAAGTTATTGGTAGGAATAGACGCTGGGATGTCCCGGGGTAATTCAACTGGACCAAACCCATCTATGTCAAAAGTCGAGGCATGAAGGGGATCCACCCCCATCTGCACTGGATGGCTAACAGTGAATCCCCAACCGGCTTGAGGGTTATTATCATGGGCACAACTACCATCGGTGAAAATGGCAATTTGAAAAGGAGCTGGAATGGGGCAACCTGGTTCAAGGTTTAATGTAGCTTGCAATGCAATATCCAAGTTAGTTCGGTAATCTCCGGTGCTCTGATCAAAATTAATTTTCTCGTTAAGGGATTGATTTGATCGATGTGGTACGGGAGTAGTGTTCAGGGTGAGCTCGACTGGAAAGTGTCTAGTAGCAAGGGAAACAAATGGATTACTACGACATTTGAGGACTTGCGGGGCAACATTTTTGGGGATGGCCACATAATCCAAGGCTGCCCAATCTGCCAGAGTCGGGCGATAAAAATTGGCCCCAGTTGCGGTAGTTTCTTTGTATGTGATTCTATGCTTTAAGCTCGGCTGGTCAAAAGTCTGGGGAAGGAATAGGTCATGGGCAATAAGGAATTCTAGGAAATATTCCGCATTATCCCGTTCCGGGTCCATCACAACCTGCCGTTTGGACCAAGCATCTGGGCCTATGGCCATTTCCTCCGGATCTTGCTCCGTTGAGAGCCGAACTTTCCAATCGCCCAAAAAACACCATTGTTTATGGGGAGGTGGCCGGTCAAAGGTTTCCCCAAAAAAATGCCAAAATTGTTCCTTACGGGAAAGATCGTCTACCGGATCAGCTACCATGCTAGGTGCATATGCACAAATCAGTTGTAATGGTTTAGGAGCAATGTTTAAATCAATGGAGCAACACCTGCCATTATAGCCTAAGAAATTCACCACCAAGTGTCTCGTTTGGGGGGCGACCACAAAGCCGACACCATGATGTTTAGAACCAGAATCTCCAGAGAAAAAGAATTCGAAACCCTTTTTAATAAAGGAATGGGTTTGGGTTGCTTTTGTCTCCTGCAAAGCCACAATTGCTACATGGTTACGGATCATATATTCCATAATTTGTTCGTATTTTGTGAGTTCATAGAGGCCCTCAATGTTCCAAGTGGCTACCTTGATTGGGGTATGTAACCTGGGTTGTTTAGGGATATTACCCGAATGGTGATCACGTTGCACATACGTTCGAAACCATGCTTTCCTTGACGCCGTATATTGAGGCTGGGTTGGAATCCTACTCTTCTTTGACCGCTTTAATGTCGAGTTTGCGGGCAGAAGCGGGGGCGGTGCCAACACCCTTTGGCCTGCCCAGCCAAAGGACTCACCTTGCAAGATTTTCCAAGCTCTATAGTCTCGCCTAGATTGAGCTCTGCGGGCTCGTGTCTGTTCCTTACGGCGGGCTCTAGCCGCCTCGGAACGGTACCGAAAGCCCGTCTGATTACCCCCGACAGCTGGGCGATCTTCGTGGCCGCTCTGTAACGCACGATGCCATAGCCATCGTCTTTGAAGATCCATTGGAATGAGGTGGCGGCTTCCCGGCTCACCACAATTGGCGGTGATCGCTTTCACGAGGTGGCGATACAGAAGAGGGCTATCCTGTTTTGAGCTTTCCAACACTCTGTACTTTTGGCGGCGTTTATACCAAACTCTAAACGCTGCAGGTTTCCAACAGATCCAAAACACGATCATTCCGTTTGGAAGAGTCAACGGGCTGTGTCCAAGGTTTCTATACGGACTAGAGACCTTCCAAGGCTCCACAACAATATTTCCATTTAGGGAATGGAGAAACCCATTGATATTTCCTAAAACTAAGCCCCCAAAGATTAGAACTGTCAAGCCAGGTATTCTGGGCGCAGGCTGACCTTTAGCTACGTGGTGCTGCTGTCCGCGCCCTTGCTGTTGAAGGGCTAAGTTGGCGTGCCCATTGGTGGCACTCTTCCAGATTACCGGGGAAGGTTGTTGGCAATTGGGTGGAAGATAGAACAGCAGAAACAAAAGGAAGTACAGTCAGTAAACAACCTTCTCCAGCCACCAATGGGTGGAATCTTTAAACTGTGCTTGCAAAATTGCCCATGCTGTGGACCAAACTAAAATGTGGGAGAGATGTTCGGCTATATACAGCATGAGAGCTTCCATGGAATTGCCTTTCTGGGTATAGTTACGATTGACGCCAAACTCAGCTGCTGGTCGATGTGCAGGGTTGGCTTTGAGATGCTGCGCAATCAGTTCATACAACATGCCTAGTTCTGAATTGGGCATTTGCAACTGATGCGTCGCCGTTGACTGTACTTTGTACAGCCCAGCGAGCTGCCAGTACAAGCAATCACTGAAATTCGATGCAAAATTTGCCAGGTGTTTGAGCTTCTCTTTGGTGTGAGGGTCAACTCCAAAAAAAATATTCATTGCTTCCGGGTCCTGTGCCAAAAAATCTGCCCAGTCTGCGGCTATTTGGTCTAACTTGGGAAGGGTATCTAACATTTTGCTGTGATCAAAGTAGTATTTCACCAATCTATCGATGTTTTCCGAGCGCCATCGCTGAGGTGCTGGCAGTTTGGCTTCCGCCATTGCTGCCCTGTATGAAGCTGCGACCAGGCGATCCCAAGGAATGAATGTACTCGGCACGGCGGATGATGAAGTAGAACCATAAGGCTGGATAGCCCACAACAATGTTTCCTGCCATTTGTTCAAAACCAAGAAATCGTCAAACCAAGCACCTATCAAGGCTTGCATACTGTCCAGGGTGTAGAAAGTCCAGTTGTAGTTGGCTTGGTCCATGGTGTCAAAATATTGCCATTCGTCGGCCAGCAAAGCTCTCTCAGATGGCTGTTCCCATTTCAATGGAGGCCCACTAAAGAGGATAGGCAGTAGGTCCGTTGCGGCAGGAACTTTCGCCATCCAGTTTTGAAAAACGGGAGGAGAAACTTCACTCACCTGAGCCAACAGCTGGTCGCTGAGGAGCGAAGGAAACGTGGACACGGGAGAAGAAAATGCGCCGATGGTCAACTTTTCCAGAAGTGATCGGATCAAAGACTTGTGCAGGGCATGGGGGGCTTCCAGCCCCTGGAGCAACCACCGTTGCCACGCACTTTTCAACATGTGGCATTGGACGCAATCTCCATGTCCCAGAAGTCCGCCCTTCTCATGGGCAAATTTGCAGCACCTTTCAGTCCCCAAATCAAAGTGACAAGGCATGTTGCATAGCATATCCATGGGTTCTGGATCACGTGTGGATCCCATGGCTCGGGCGGCCTCGACATTTGTCCGGCCATACGCGCACTGGTCGCAAGATGAATTAAACCCGAAGAGATTATGGCAAACAAAGCACAGCTTCAACGCAAGCACGGCAGAGGAGGAGTGATTTTTTCCACCAGAGCATCGTTTACCACCATCTCCTTTGCCCCTGACAGGTGAGCGCTGTGACCTATACATGGCTGGGGTTCGCTTGTCTTCCCATGGTGGAGGATCATTGTCTGGCTCATCGTCGTATCGCCGGTTGCCTTTCCACAGCGGGGTTGCTTGTTGTTCCGGGGCAGATTTCTTGCCAGATTTGTGTCCCTTTGATCCTTTGCTCTCTTTTCCTTTGCCCTTAGACCCCTTAAATCCACGGTCTCTTTGGGGGGCCCCTTTACCAAAATCCTTACCCGAAATGCCCTTTTCAGAGGCCGCAGAGTTCACGTCTGATTGGAGACCCCGACTTGACACTACAGGTGCCAACGGATTTTTCTCCAAATCTTCAAGCACTTCATCTGTCAAGGAAAGGAACCGAATATCAAAAGGCAAGACTGAAATCAAATCAGAATCTGGCACGTTGGAAATGTCATACGCCTGCTGGTAATGCGGTCGCAGGGTTGTGGTTGAATCACGGAGGGAATTTTGCAAGGCCTGTAACGATTTCAATATGTCACGTACCTGAATTTTCAAGACCTTCTGAAAGTTAGTGTGAATCAACGTTTCATGACGTGGATGAACATAAATGAGACACTTGTTTTGGGGGAATGACTGTAGGTATGAAACTTGACTCAGCAATGTGTCATCTCCTTCGGGGGCCCAAATCTGCAATACATTCCAATCCGGTCGCATGTTTTGACCTTTGAAGGGGGATCCATCCATGGAATTAAACACAAACATAAGTGTTTGTAAGGGAACACGTTCAAACCTTTCCAATGCCGTGAAATCACGTTCGAAACGAACTGGAAAATCAACTGTACCCTGGGTGTTTTTGTCATGCCAAAAGAAACGGCGGGATTTCAAATGTTTGAAAACAGTCTTGCAACCCCATTCAGTGACAAATACCAATCTCAACAATGTTGAATCAGAACTATATACATGTTGCGTTACACTTTGGAGATCCTCTATGTATGACAAGTCTGCCCGTGTGAGGAGATATTGCAAATTCCATTCAATGTTGGCCCATGGTAGAAAATGTGGCATCCCTGTAAACAGCAGTGTACGCCGGCACATGGAACGTTCTGGCAAAGAAGCTGACAAACTTTGAACCAACAGGGAGGTCTGGACTACAGGTGCTGGGGTCTGTGCAATTTCATCCATTCGGTTCTGCATATGAGCTACTGCTGGGACTACCTGGGTAGAATGGTACTCTTCCAATACCGTCCGTAACTCTTCTAACGTTGAAGCAGTTCCTGGGAAGGAGAGTTCAAACCTGGCCGTAGGGAGGGGAACGGGGGGATCGACTAAGCCAGACACAGGATCCAGCTTCCTAGCCTTTTTGTAATCCATCTCCCGTCTGTTTTGCATGAGCGCCCTCCTCGCGTTGGGATCCATATCCCCAAACTCAGGGGCCTCGTCCTCCTGCTTAGCCACTTCTGAGCCAGAAGTAACTGTCGATGGGGGGGGGCGCTTTTGACCCACATCTGGCGTGTCAGGAAGATCTATGTTGCTACGTTTCACATACACTTCTGATCCATCTTGCAGCGTGACTTTGATCATGTCTTCTTGGGCTGTGCTCTCTGTTTTGGCTGGCACCAAAGCAGTTGGGAGACCATGTGATAGTTTTGATCCATCGGGTAGTGGTTCTTGATTGGATGCCTGGGAGTCCATCCCTGCCAGTGGCTAAGGAAGCAAGCAACAACACCAAAACAATCACAGCATCAACAGCGAGCAACAAAGCAAGCAGACTCGGAGAAATGGAAGGAAATGAATAAAATGGAAACCCACGTGGAAATGGAAGATAAGAACTAATCAGATCACCAAAAAAATGCGTAACGCCGATTGAACATGCTGTTTGATGTGCCACCTCGCTAGCTCGAGCCTTCAAACTCTATGTATTAAAGTAAAATAATTATATATATATATAGTCAAAATATGCTATTATACAAGTTAACATATGCTCTTATATGGAGGTCTCCGGAACCGTTCCGAACCGTTCTGGGGTCTATAGGCTTTGAATCCGGAACCGTTCCGGAACCGTTCTAAATAGTTCTAAATAGTTCTGAGGTTTTGGAAGTATCCGGAACCGTTCCGAACCGTTCTGGGGAAATCCCCGGAACCGTTCCGAACCGTTCTGAAAACCCCAAATAGTGGCTTATATGTTAACTTACTTTTATACTTGTATATAACTTGATAAAACCAAATATACACACTTGTAGCGTATAGCTACTTTGGAAAATACAACTCATAATCCATAACTCTTGACTATCAAACTTCAATAAATCAATTTATAAGGTTTAGGAACTGTTTTAAAATTGAAACACATTGTTATAACTGTTAATTTACAACTTAGAGCTTCTAGCTATGACTTGACACTAAAAACTGTGTAACTTATAACTTTGTAACATTTTAACTTTGAACTTACAACTTATAACTAAAACTTAGAACCTTTAACTTGTAACATAACTTAGACTTTGCTTCTCGATTTGACTTCAACTGTTTAACACTTTATAAGTATTTGTTTGCTGTTTTCTTTACTTTACTCGCTTTGTATTTATGATTTATATAAGACTGTTTGAGTTTTAGATGAATTATATGTTCTTGTTTGTTCGTGTATGTTTGAAGTTTGGAAGTATATCGACGGAGTTTGTTTGTATAAAACGCAACAATAAAGTTTAAGCGTTGTATTTGGATAAAATGACATATTTATAATGATTGTAATCTGTTACTGCAACACTGCTACGGACCAATGCACAACAACGTAGCGACAGAAATGCAGTAACACATCTTTGATCTGCTACAAATACGTAGGATTCCGTTTGCAGTTGATAAATTTGTTTCACCATGTTTTGCCTAAGTTTTACCGTGGTCTTCGCAGCACCGAAAACAATACTTAAAAACTGTGGATTTGCATTTGCAGTTCATCCATGCACATGAGCACACAGTCATACATACACTCATCAATGCACTAGTTAACCAATTTTACAGTATACAGGGTCACATCGTAATATTGTTTTTATGAGTTATTTTTTCTAGTTGGAGCTTGCGCACATGCATTCTTTGGTTTTCTCCTTTTTGAAGAAATATGGGGCCCCGAATTACACATATGTTGTATATTGTTGTATACTGTTTTCCTTTCCAACTTACGGACCAATATTTTCAAATACGAAATTTGTATGTAACATCTAACTTGATGTTGAAAGGTTTTTTGTCCAAGAACTTGGAGCAATGCGTTTCTCTTTCAAAGTGGTGGGGGTTCTTCATTGGGTGACATTTTTAGTGGAAACACCCCTTATTTCCATGGATTGCTACATAGTTCTTTCCATAGTTCTTTCCCTGGACATATGAAATCAACAGGAATCCAAATTTAAGAGACTAAGGTTTGAAATAAGGTATAGATACAAATACAGATATAGATACAGATATAGATAGTGATACTTAGATATGTATATGTATATATATAGGTATATCCAACAAAAGCCTTAGGCCTTAGGGCATAATTTCGGCCCAACAGCTTCACATAGACTCCTATGTCACCCTGTTACCCTTTTCAATTAATTACTTTGATCCGCAGATGTTATTCGTTCGGACCCATCCACCGCCTTATATTTGCCCCATCTCAGAATCTCAACCCTGACTCCACCCTGACCCACCTAAAACATCCCAATCTCCCTAAAATCGTCCGTAAAGTCACAAGTTGGGTTGATGTTTTCCAGCAAAAAATCCAGCAAATCCTCTGCAATTTTGCTCTCTTTTCCCTCTAAAATCATATCTCATCACCTTTGTATCATAGGTTTTCATAGTTTTTCCACATTTTCCTCGTTTTTCCCTTCGAAAATCCCCCAACCCCCGTCCGCGTATCGCCCTCCTGCAGGGCTGAGGTCCATTCTGCCTCCGAGGGCGCTCCGCTCACAGCCATGCGCTGCAAGGCGTCCTGTGGCGAACCCGCGGCCGTTTTGAAGAGCTTCAGCAGGTCGTGCCTTGCCATCTGGACTGAATAAGCGGCAAGGCATGGGGATAGTTGGCCAAGCAAAATGGTGAGTTGATGATGTATATATATCATATATATCATGTCATATATATATATAGTTATGTATAATATACATTATATATATACATATATATATCATCTATATACTTGGGGTGCAGGACTTGGGTGAAATTTATGGGAACCATGGTGAGTTCGCCATGGAAGAAGGGAACACAACAACTACAGTATGAGACGCCGACGACTGGGTTTCTGCGCCTCCAAGTGTCCAAGTGTATAGCAATTGGCAAAAACTAAAAGGATGCAAAAATCAATGGGAATTCCAGGATCCTAAAATGGAGGTACTGTACCATATTTTTGGCCATATTTTGTGGGGATATTCCCTTACATAGCCCTTACATAGGCCTTATATATGGTAGGTACCTCCAATTTAGGTTCCTGAAATGGCCATTGAAAAAAGCAATGTCAACCTGGGATTTTTTTGAGTATGGTTTTACTTTTTCTATTTTTTCTCGGAGGGTGCCATGAATTATTCTTGGAAAATGAAACCTATTTTTCATCGGTTCAATTGAGGGTCTAGATATCTTCAAAATACTGATGAGTAAACTTGTTATTGTGTTCCGGCATACAACCTGAAAAAATGTGCGTCTCTACTTAAATCCATATGTAGATACCTGACATATGAAACATCTAGAATTGCATGTTGTATAATCCCATCCCCCAATCTCAAATGCCCTCTATGTGGGCCCCTGAAATAGAAAATTCCAGTCCTAAACCAGGGCTTCCAGTTAGGTAAGTATCCAACATCGGGGGGAAAGATCTTCGTTCTATGCCTCATGAGGGGAGGATAGTGATGTAATACTATTTAATTGGGAGAATGGTGATAAACCAATGGAAACCTCAAAATTATGAGGTAGGTATCATCTATAACCTCCTGCAAAAAAACACTCTTCTATCTTTTCAAAAGGGCCTACGTAGAACATCAAAATTATATGCCAAACTAATTTGATGAAAATGATTCAACTTTAGTTCCCAAGTTGTGTTTGTTGTTGCTCCCATCTACCACTCTGGGGGATTTCCCAGTTCGATGGATCTAAATCTTGGTGAAACGACCCATGGAAAACCATCATTTTCAGTGGGAAAAAAACGCCGCGATTGATTGCAATGTGTTACTGTTTAGTGGTGAATTAGTATAGTTTACCTAGAATGTTTACCGTTTAGACATGGGTAAATTGAATGATCTCCATTTCTCGGGATAATGCACTAATCAGCGTAAATCATGGACATTAATCGTAGTATCTAATAGTCAACTACAGTAAAGTAATCCATAGTATTTGCTTTGACATTGGCAATTAGATTACTTAGTACTTCACTATAGTTGACATTGATAATCTCTCGAAATATGGTATTCAATTGTTAATTAGTTGATTGTTGGATTAGTCAACTATAGCTGACATTGCTACTTATATTTGATTGTTAATCAGTATTACTAATAGTATTACCCGTAGTCAACCACAGTAATAAAGTATATCATATCATTTGTAATACACTATTAGTACCTTAGCATATTTCGATTTAGAATCTATTTCTAATAGTATCGTATCTAATCAAGCGTCCAAGGGTGTGATATTACTAATAATATTACTCGTAGTCAAAGCTACAGTGATTTCGTAACTTATCCCATGTGATTTCAAATGGAATTAGATACTATTAGATACTACTGTATTCCATACATATATTAATGGCAATTGTATCTCATGGTACCTCGTGGTCAACTTAGATATTACTAATGTGACAATGTGGGTAATGTGGGTAAAAGAATAATAAACCATCCCCCAGTCATCACCATGATTTTCCAAAAAAAACCTTCCCATGGGTGCTAAAAATGAGGCATTGTTTTACCCACATTCATGTGACTACCCTCTGGTAATGACTAACGCTTTGCTCTTGAAAATGGCCGTAGATTTCTAGGTGATTTCCCGAACTTCCAAAGTGAAGTTCAACGTTCCATCGTTGTTCGTAAACGTTTCCCGCCAGTTTTGCCGGGCAACGGAGCGATCAGCTGCTCCACCTTCGGAGATTCAGTGGGCTTTGGAGAAAACCCATGGTTTTTCACCCATGAAAATGGTGGTGTTAAGATGTTTTTAAGATGATCTTAAGCTGATTTGTAGTGATGAAATGACCTAAGAACGATGAGTATCTAAGAAATTCTAAGAATCTAAGTGGGCTTCGCGAAGAAACACCTGGTGGTTTGGGTAAAATGAGGATCTTAGCACTGCGATTACAACATCTCACGGCCGACAACCAAGGGAAATTACCAAGAAAGTTACCAAACTGGAAACAGGGGCAATATGTATGTATGTATATATATATTTATTTATTTATTTATTTATGCATTTATTTATTTATATTTATATTTACATTTATGCATTTAAAAGACATAACATTGATGTTTATTTTCGCAACCTGAAGCAGGGATCCGATCAATAACGATGGGGATTTCACTCAAGTTTCAAGTCACCAAGAAATCCCAAGTTTGAAAGACCTGGGGATACGCACATCCCCTGCTGCCAGTGTGCATCCTCTTCTCCCAAAAAAAAGCTGGAGATTCTCCCTGTCCCTGTCTTTCCCGCCAATTCATTGCTAGGAACTTAAAACCCACCAGAACTATCCATAACTAAATATCCATAATAGACATTACTAAACGACCATTATTAATAAATAATCATTTGGAGGGTTCTCAGTGTCTCGCAGACCCCTTCGCCGGCGCAACCATTTTCTTGCTGTTCGCTTGCGGAGTTGTCGCTGTGTCAGGGAGCCTCAAAAGGAACAGTTCCATTGGGGTCCGGCAGATCCTCAAACTGATTGCTCTAAGGGAACATGTGGATATCTGGGCAAATTATAATATTTCACTAACGTGAATTAAGGCCATTTTGGGATGATTCCCCTTACTAACTATGATTCCAGTGAGGTCGCAGTGAGGTCGTTATAACTTACCCAGGGATATCCTTTATATAGGATCCCAGATCATCACAAGTGGCCTTTGTTTGCGAGATCTTTGTAGTGAACACTTTGCTAGACACACAAAACTCCAAGTGGCGCCCAGCAGTTCACACCTGCGTGCCGTAACATGAAACGCCTAAATTCCTAAATCCAGCAAACTGCTTTGTCAAAGTGGGATCATCATCGTAAGCTAAAAATGAACACACACAGACACAGAGATATATATATGTGTATATATATATATGTATATACATATATAATATATTATGTATATATATATATTATATGTATTATATATCTGTGTAATGTGCATATCCCCATTTCAGCGTGGGCCCTTGTGCAATCGCGGGGCCGAAAACGACGTTTTGGCCACCCCTTCCTGGGCTGAGGGTGTCCAGAAATAGGGAGTATCCCCATGACGCTGGATGGATTATTTCATGGAAAATCCTATTAAAATGGAGATATCACTGTCTTATAAATCAAGATAGTAAGTTTGTTTCCTAGATTTGTTTCGATATATTCAGGGTTAAACCACCTGATATGTCAATTAATCAATGGATATGTCCAGTTATGGGCATATTCTCCTGGATATGATGGGAATATCAATGGAGATCACCTGGTCATTTAATCTAAAGACTTCTCTTTAGGAAAACAACGGGCGCTTCCAGGGACCGGCTGGCTTCAACACCGCTGAAAAATATGAGTTGGGTGTTTATCCTCCCCTAGGGCGGTTTTCTTAAAAAGGTTGTACCTCAAAACCATGGTTGTTTCAAGACAACCATACATGGTCATCCATGTGGATTTGGGGTATCCCAAGTTTGGAAAAAGACCCATACATGTGTGTATATTATATGTGTCTATATGTATGTGTATATATATATGTGTGTGTGCGTTTGTGTGTGTGTTCAACACACACACACACATATATATATAGTAATATATATCATTATGTAATTGTGTAACTATCAACATTAACTATCATTAGTTATCATTAACCAAATATATAGACAACGGTCAGGTGAGCTGTGATCACGTTCACCGCCCAGGGACACCTAACTTTGAAGTGATCTTTTGTAGCAGACGACGTTTCTCCTGGCAGTGCCGGCGGTGGCACCACAGATTCGTCGTGGTTTAGCCATGACAGAAACATCAGCAAATACAGAAATCAATCAGATAAGTCTACAATAGACACGATCGGCAAATGAATAAATTACAGTAAATGAGTAAATGATAATAATTTATTTTTAAATAAAATGATGGTAAAATAATGATAATGATAAATAATAATCTATAAATTTATATTTATAAATGAACATAAGTGAGAATGAACGATCATAAACGATCATAAATTCATAGCTTATAAATATATATACACATACACGTCAGTGCGTGAGGTGTTTTTGCATGGCAGGGTGACAGGCAGGGCCCTCATCAAGTTATCCATCAAGCTATCAGGGGGGAAGTCCTGGACTTCGATAGGCTAAAATCCAGCCAAGCAAAAAAAAAGTTGTTTGCATCACTGGTGGTCAGCACCCAAACATGGTAGGTTGCATGTTGAAAAAATGTCCACACAACTGGTGTTATTCTCGCAAATGGCAATATCTAACCGTTACATCGCAATGGGCCACCCGCAGTATTTCCATATCATGATACATGTGCTTCCGGTACTCTTTCTCATCCCTGTGGATCTATCATGATCTATCCCGATCTAGCCCCCAAAAAAAACACGTGCCGGTCCGCCGGACGCCACCGGACGCCACCGGACCTCGATGAGATCGCGACAGCGCATCAATTGATCCACGGTACCCTGGTCATGGCCAATCCTGGCAAAAAAAAACATCGCGAGTTCATCTCTATGTTCGGAAAGTCAGCTATTGTAGTGCGGGTTGTCAACCCCAATGATATACAACATTCATTTCAGAGGAAAAGTTGGGATCTTTGGACAATACGCTGGGCATTGGCTTTCAATGGGCTACGCCATTTTACTCAAGACCCAG